AAACCATTTCAGGTGACTACCTCTTGAAGCTCATGGAGAGAATGCCAAGAGTGTGCAAAGCAGTAATCAGAGCAAAGGGTGGCTATTTTGAAGAAACTAGAATATAAAACATGTTTTCAGTTATTTCACCTTTTTTTGTTAAGTACATAACTCCACATGTGTTCATTCATAGTTTTGATGCCTTCAGTGAGAATCTACAATGTAAATAGTCATGAAAATAAAGAAAACGCATTGAATGAGAAGGTGTGTCCAAACTTTTGGCCTGTACTGTATATATACATATTATTTTATACAGTCTAGGATATATATATCCCACTCTGGGGTTGAGGTGAATAAAATAACTGTGTTGTGACCTAAATAACATGCTGTTGCTATCTGCAGAAAGTATTAAAGCATGAAATCCCGCATTTTTAATGTACGAAAGCATCCTGTATCATAACTACATGTGTGCCGTTTGTAACAAACCAAACCGCGTGAAAATCAGTTGAAAATTCAGTGAGTTATTATATTTTACTTGTGCATACAGACCCTTCCTCAATAGAAGTGAATGCACTGTGGAGGCGAAGCGAGACCCATCCAAGATGGCGGCCGGCGAGGACGTCAGCTCTGATAGGCAGCGGCAGTCAGTGCGACGTCTATGTATATATGTCTATGCTTGTCAGCGTGTGTGAAAGACATATTAAGATAATTTACGTAAATAAAATTAGCACATCACCATGACGACACTACATTCCATGTAAAAGCCCTGCAATTAAAAATATTAAGGAAAAAAACAAGTATTATCAACACTATGTATAGAAGAATTCATGTAAGTGTTTTATTATTGGGTCAATATTGATGTAATAATATGTGAGCAGTAGGGCTGTAAATAACTGTTTTAGCTGTAGATTAGTCTGAAGATTATTTTCTTGATCAATCAGTTAGTTGTTTGGTTCAGAAAATGTCAAAAAGTGGTGGAGAATGTTGATCAGTGTTTCCCAAAGCCCAAGATGACGTCCTCAGATGTCTTGTTTTGCCCACAACCAAAAGATACTGAGTTAACTCTCATAGAGGTGTAAAGGAGCCAGAATATATTCATGTTTTTTACGTTAATATTTAAAAACAATCAATTACCAAATTATCTGGTGATCAATATAATAGTTGACAGCTTATAGATTAATTGTTACAGCTCCAGTGAGCAGTACTTTAATGTTGTAGTTGATCGAAGGGGATCTAATGTTAACTACTTCATATACTGTGGGTAGTTTGATCTGTAATAACACATCATATCTGAGAAGTTGATCATATATATGAATGAAATCCTAACCCTCTGAAGTAACTAGTAAATATAATTCATAATAAATAGTAAAGTAAAATATACAGAATTCCCACTGAAATGTAGTGGAGTGAAAGTAGCATAAAATGGAAGGACCTAAAATTGCTCTTAAGTACAGTCACTGAGTAATGTACATAATAACATAGAACATAGTGCTTTCCACCACCAGCATGGTTAGTTCAGGGGAAACTGGATGTGCAGACCAGTCAAGAATATGTTCAAACGAAGACTGTTAAACTGGACGAGATGTTTTACTCTTCAAGGGCTTTTTAGATTGCAACTATCAGAAGCACATTACTAACACAGCAGAACATTCGCTTGCATTCTGAAGCAGAAAATGTTTTTAAGCCTTTTTTATCCAGAGGACTGGTCGAAGGTCTGCTGAACAACAGTTAAAGGTTGAATAACAGCAGCTACCCTGTAAGTGAGTCATGTATCTGACCAGGCTTTTTAATATTCATCGCAGCTGGATGCAGCAGGTCTAATATCTCAGAGGGGATATCTGTAATGCACCAGTGTGTTTTCCCCAAGGTGTTCAATTAGATGAACCCAGCTGCTGCTGTGCATTAATCACTGAGGAAGAGCCCAGCAGGAGCAGAACATAGCAGCAGCGACTCAGTGTCATGATTACAGTTCATACTGACTGAGCTGGAATGGACAAGTATAAACACTTCTGCATTCATTGGTGACCTGAGCATTCAATAATGTAGTAATGTAGTGTGTACTGACTATAAGGTGACAAACTAAAGCTACATGGTAAAAGCGAAGTTTTTTTTTTTTAATGTGACCTCAATCCACCAGTCTGTTTCTGAAATATGAGCAACTCAAACCATTTAATGTTTTTAAGGGAAAGTTCAGATTTTTTTAAGTGGGATTGTATGGGGTACTTATCCATAGACAATATATTACATAGGCTACAGTAGATGACACTCAGGGCACCCCCAGTTTGGAGAAGCAGGCAGCACTACTGCCACAAAAGCAAAGCAATGTACTGCTGTGAACGGGAGGAGCAACACAGTGTATTTTAGCTACTTAAAAAAGTCCCACCTAAAAAAAACACACAATATCAGTTTAAGTGTATGCTATATTTAGAATATTTTCACCGCTTTACCTTACTGTCACACATCCTGGCCCTGAATAACAACATCACAGAGACTCTTATAGTAACACCTAGACACAAACCCTGAGGGAAAATCTAAAGATCCTGCCAGCTGAACAAGCAAGGCCTCCATCACCTCCCCGAAATGCATCTCAAGACAGAATAACAATGATATACAGGGGAATAGATAATAGAATCCTCTCTGGCACAATATATAATAGAAAAACAAACACACATTATTCGAGCTGTGTATTGGCAGAAATCTGGCGAAACAAAACATTTCATAATACAGGGTTATGATTCAATATATTGCAATATATTGTGATACAGTAAGCAAAGAGATATATTGAACATTTTTAAAATCTAATTTCAGGAATACTGTCACTGTATTAAGGACACTGTTGCTAGCATCGTCATCTCACAACAAGAGGGTTCCTTGTTCGAACCCCATGATGGGCGAACCCCTCTGTGCAGAGTTTGCATGTTCTCCCTGTCCCGTGTCAGCGTAGGTTTTCTCCGGGTGCTCTGGCTTTCTCCCACAGTCCAAAGACATGCAGGTTAATCGGTGACTCTAAATTGGCCGTAGGTGTAGATGTAAACGTGAATGGTTGTCTATCTCTATGTGTCAGCCCAGGCAACCTCTCCAGGGTGTACCCCGTCTCTCACCCTATGTCAGCTGGGATAGGCTCCAGCCCCCCCACGATCCCAACAGGATAAGTGGTTCTGGAAAATGAGTGAATGAATGTCACAGTATTAAGGCCACACCACCATACACATAAAAAGGTTGATTTGACAACTTTTTGTGCAGTCAAAGCAGAAGGAACATTTCTCTATGTCAGTTTTTGAGAATCAGTACAGTATAACAAAAATCGTGATACTCAAGTGTGTCGATACTTTCTTACACCCCTATACATTTGCACTGTTCAGTCACAACACAATCACACATTCCGAAATGTAAAATGTAAACAAGTACTGAAGCTTCAAGTGTGTGTGGCTTCTACCAGCAGGTATCTATTTATGTGAATAGAGGAAGGTTGCCAAATGATTGAGCGGATACACACTGTACTGTCAGGGGAAATATAAAGTGAAATTTATTTCCTTCTCTAAAAGCTGTCAGCTTCCTGTCACCTGTCACAAAGAGAGGAGAGGAGATAGAAAGAGAGAGGGAGAGGGCATGCGCAGGTGGGGGGGGGGGGCTCCACAGAGGGAGAGAAAGAGAGTGTGTGTGTAAGTGTGTGTGTGTGTGCGCGCATGTTGCTTTGAGGCTCAAAACCAATGTGTGCCATCACACGCTGAGATGATGCGAGATATGAGTCAGATGCTTGGAGGAATCTCAGAGCCTCAGAGGAAACTGTCTGTAGCTCAGTCTGGTACCCAACTCTATCTTTTTCTCTGAGATGTCAGGTGCTGACAGTCCAAATGGCACCGGTGCGTCTCCAGTCCCGGACTATGAATGGAGATATGAATATTATGATGACGAGGAGCCAGTATCTTTTGAAGGACTCAAGGCACACCGCTGTGAGTAGCCGTTTGTTTGTACCTCTCTGTAAAACTGAAGTGAAAGTTACCTTTGTCATCTCGCTGCCATAACCTACTGTTATGTCATCTCTGGAATTTTAGCGGCAACCATGTTTCCTCACTTAGATGACCATTGTAATAATAATAATAATAATAATAATCATCATCATCATCATCATCATAGTCATAACAATAACTAGAATTACCACCTCGTTGTTATATGCCTCTGTGAACCAGTCAAGTTTCTCTTACCATTTACATCCATGTCTGTGAAAACATGGATGTTTCGCACACATCTTCCCCTCAGCAGCACAGAAGACCTATACAATCAGCACAGTTACAAGATTAGTGTCGCCAATTCAGTATCTAACAAACGTCCCCCCTTCTGTTTCTGGGATATGCTGCTGTGGAATGTCCAAAAAAATGTCACAGTAAAGTTGGCCTTTGACCTATTGTATATAAAATGTCATCACTTCATCATTTTATCCTAGTAGACACTTGTGTGAATTTTGTCATAATTAGCATATGAATCCTTGAGTTATGGCCAAAAACTGGTTTTGTGAGGTCACAGTGATTTTTGACCATCAAATCTAATCAGTTCATTCTTGAATCTAAGTGGATGTTTGAGCCAAATTTGAGGAAATTCCCTCAAGATGTTCTTGAGATATTGTGTTCATGAGAAGGAGACAGGTCAAGATGACCTTGAAATATGACCTTTGACCGCCAGAATCTATTCAGTTGCATTGTTAAATCAATGCAGACGTTTGTGCCAAATTTGAAGAAATTCCCTTAAGGTGTTCTTGAGATGCCACATTCACAAGAAAGGAACAACCCAAAAACATAATGCTTCTAGCCATGGCTATTGCTGGTGCAGAGGCATAATAACATTGATAATCATAATAATAATAATAAAGAAATAAACAGGACCAGTGTTGTATCGAAATGTGTTCCCCCATCAATATGTTTTTTTTCTCTGTTAATTCGTAGATCCCACCTTGGTGGTTAGAGTTAGGGCTGAAAGATCTTTCCCAAACCAAGTAGTTTTTAATGCCTAAACCTTACCAGTGTGTATTTTGCTGATAATACTCATACTTTTATTAAAGAGACACTTTTAAAGCAGGGCCTTTACTTGTAATGCAGTATTCTTACACTGCAGTACTTTACTTTTGAGTAAAGGATCTAAATATTTCCTCCACCACTGTCACTGAGCAGATGTTTTGGGAATTGGTCACATCACAAGCTATATCAGCATATGAACTTTGCTAGTTGTCATGGCATTGTAAACACTTTCATTTTGTCTGAGCACTTTAAGGTCTTCTTGTCTATGTTTGCTTAATAAATGGTTCATTTGTGTTTGGAACCTGAGGTCCAGAATGAACTTAATATGAACCACCTACAATTACATTGCAGGAGTTCAACCACTACTGCACTGACTGAATCAGTTATCCTGAATGTTTGAGAGATATATAATGCATTCCCTTGAAAGCATGTGAAATTCTAAGTTGTTAAAGATGGAACACATTGTCAAACACAATTTACAGTGACATGTTTATTCATGACCCTGTCCATTACTTTCCATATCTGCAGTGCTTTGCCTAACTGGCTGTCCATCCATTCATTCATCCAACACTTTGGTCTTAATAAAAATCTCAACATCCACTTGTTGCACTTTTGCCCTTAGATTAAGATGAATGACACTGGGCTTGGTTTGTATCACAGTATTAAAGTATACCATGGTATTTGGAAATCCTGACAGTATGATTTTCAATATTGTTAAAAATACAGATGCTCCCCTTTCTATTAAACTGATGCTGAGATGCCCTATTAGGATGTATTATATCAATCAATTTCAATCAATCAATCAATTTTATTTATAAAGTCCAATATCACAAATCACAATTTGCCTCACAGGGCTTTACAGCATACGACATCCCTCTGTCCTTATGACCCTCACAGCGGATAAGGAAAAACTCCCCCAAAAAAAACCCTTTAAAGGGAAAAAAACAGTAGAAACCTCAGGAAGAGCAACTGAGGAGGGATCCCTCTTCCAGGACGGACAGATGTGCAATAGATGTTGTACAGAACAGATCAGCATAATAAATTAACAGTATTCCGTATGACACAATGAGACAGAAAGAGAGAGAGAGA